CTGAACAGTCGTTTGACCCAGTTCAGCCTTCCTAGTCACACGCTACGAATCTGAACGGGGAAATTTTCCATCAGTTCTTGCAGCTGCAAGTAGAAATGTTAATTATTGCACCGGTTGGCTCGTAGATACAAACGCTGGAGATGTTACCCAGGTTGCTGTTTAATCGTAGATACACGTGTCACATACGCATTTTTTCACACTTAACAACTTAAAAAGTTCGTTTCAATTCCTCCGCACTCTCTGAATGCATCCTGATCCGAATTCTTGGGCCTTGTGAATGTCGTAAAATGACACTCGTTGATAAACATTCACCGATGGCTAACGGAACTCACTCGTCCGATCGGTGAACGTTAATCAACGAGCGTCAATATCTGCCGATCTAAAACGACAAGACAATGAGCTCATTGCTAAATGGTTAGGGCGTCAGACTTCGGATGTATAGGTCGCGGGTTTGAGTCTCGGGTAGGGCACCACCTGATATTGGCTATGACTGGCTGATGACGGCCAGTGAACCAGAAATGACCATTCTAGTTTCCTTTGTTTTTTCCGGTAATGCTATCTGTCGTAAAATGCAGATTTTTTCTCCTTATTTCTGTTCCTTCACAGGTGGACACCCCGATCCTCACCAGGACGGACTGCGAAGGCGCCGGAGAGACGTTTCTGGTCCAGTCCACAAAATCCGATGTTGGCGCCACACCCGATGATTCTGGAGAAGAGCATACTGACGTCCACCTTACTGTTAGTGCCCAGTTGCATCTAGAAGCACTGGCACTCGGAATGGGTCGGGTAAGTTGGCCCATCAATTGCTCCTTCGGTAGAGGGTGAGGGGCTGATCCAAGTCCTTAATCCAATACTGGCTTTTTTGGTGTCTTATGATTTCCTGTAAAGTTCTCGAACGGATTTAACAGTTGTTTTCGTTGTGTTCTCGATGACACTCACCGATGTGAGATCCGAACCAATAGAGACTAGATCATGGGTGCGGCACGCGTTGACGTTTTTTTTACCTCCGTCGGCTTCTGCTCTCGATCGCACCATTAGTTGGTTGGGACAGTCAACGGGTACGCGGGAAAGGGAAGACAAAGAGAGGGCGTAAAGCTGACACTGGGGACGCCATACTCGCGGAATTTGAGTGCATTCCTCCCTATACTAATTCTTATCCCCTGGTCGTGTAAATCCTGGTGTGTTTGTGTGTGTCAAGGGGGCAAGATCGTGCTGTGGCGCGGGCAAGCGGGTTCGCTGGCTCTGTCATCCACTGCTCCCATCAGGCGATTGGCCGGCTCGAAAAGGCTGGCTGCACTGCCTCCCTTTTAATGTCACCTTTACGACATTCTCATTTACCTGAGATCCCAGCCACTCTCGTTAGCCTGCTACATGTAGATGATTGGGAGCGCATACTAAATTCCGACATTCTAAGAACACATACGGGCCGTATTTTAATCAACAATTTATTAGTTTTAGTAATTATGGTTACTAGAATTAGCACTTTAGCATCGGCAAGTGCTTATAGCAGCTGTATCGTAGTCC